GCAGTGTTTTGTTCTGTTGCACAGGGTCACTATGACTCGATGGCAACCTAGCAACAACATCAAAGGACAGGCACATGTTAACATGGGTGATGGGGCAGGCAATATCCAGTTAAGTGAGATTGAAAGAGGAAAGATGAAGATAGCAGGAGACACAGGGAGGATGTGTGCAAGAGCTAAAGGAAACAGAAGTAAATACTGTTAACTGATGACACATGGAAGGATTGCAATCACTGTAATGAAGCAAAGTATATGATCTGCTGAATGTAAAACGAATGATCTACTCTACAAACCTTCACTCAATTCACAATTAAAAAAAAAAAAAAAAGCATAATATTCAAAAGAGACCTGTTTTACTAGTTAAACTAAACTGTTGTTTGATTTTAAGGTGACTTCAGGAGGCATTAGGATTTAAGGCTTAAATATTATCTCAGGGCAACAGTTTGAGAAATCCATCCACCTTCCATGGCTTCAGAAAGTATAGGAGTTCATGAGTATTTGAAATTCTGTTCTGTTTTCCCCTTTTAGACCAGGATTCTTCTATGGAATCTTTGATCAACATGTTTAGTAACAGTAGCTCGGCTTCATGCAATTCCTCAGGTCTCAGGGCAAGGGAGTCAGTTGCTCCTAGTGGCAATTACACACACATTCCATCACCTATTTCTGACTCTCCTTCTGTTGTTGCTCCAGGCAAAACAGAGATCAATTGTCCTGCTTTGGATTGCAGCTTGCAAAGTCTTAAAGACTCCAGGCACTATGGAACAAACTAGGAGGTAGAACAGAAGCACTAAACACATTATTATGCCAATTAACTGGGATGTCCCGTGAAAGTATGACTGCAAACCTTCAAGACAAGGAAGGTGTTTGGCTGTACACTATTCTCCTTCTTGTTGTTGTTGCTGTAAATATATGTGTTACACAGCTTTTGCCAATCCAACTTTTCAGTGACTAAATATTTGGAAGTACTCCATCTCTCCTTCTTCCTGTCTTCATCTGGAAGCTCAGCTGAAACCTGTCCACTGTGGGTGACCCTGCTGATATTTACAATACTGGTGGCATAGCTTTCAGAATCACAGCAACACGTAATCCACCACAGTATGACAAACTGAGAAGAGTGGTGATAAATTCCAACTTGTGGTTGGTGTTAGGTGCCATTGAGTCGGTGCCGACTCATAGCGACCACATGTACAGCAGAACGAAACACTTCCCAATCAGTGCACATTTTAAAAGAACTTGAAGTTCAAGGTTTTTTATTTTTCCTAAAACAATAATTCATTATTTCTAGCTCAAAATGGTTCTTGATGATTTTTAAAATTTTTTATCAGCGTTCTAGAATATGTGTGACAAATCCAATGGTTTATGCACTGGACCACTCACTTCAAGGCCAGCAGTTCAAACTCATCAACTGCTCCTTGGGTGAAAGATGAGGCTGTTTGCTCCGGTCAGGTTTCATAGTCTTCAGTTGTCCTGTGTCCTACAGGATCACTCTGAGTCAGAATAGACTTGAAGACAGTGGGTATACCTGCTTTGTTATATTAATAAGGCAGTATAGTGTAGGGTGTGTCTTAAGCCAATCACTTTTAAGATATAAAAAGAGTAGATTAAGCAAGAAAGAAAACAAGCAACGATGGGGAAAGGCAGATGCCAAGTCACACGAAGATTACCAAGGAATAGAGAAAGAGGCTGGGAAGACAAGCCCCTTCTCCCACAGCTGACAGAGAAACAGTCTTCCTTCTACAGCTGGTGCTCGGAATTCAGACTTCTGTCTGTTAAAGCCGCCCATTTGTGGAATTTCTGATATAACAGCACTCGATAATGAAGACAACCACCTAAATGGTATTCTGTTAGCCTCAAAAACAAGTAGAACAGTATTCATATGCAGGTTAATACAGAGGATGCGTCAAGAAATATTAAAAGAATAGAATGTGCTAACAAGTTCTGAAAATAAAATGACTTACTTAAGTGATCCTCCAAAACTGGTATATTCCCATTTTAAATAAGAATGCTCTTCAGATATTGAAATGGATGTTAAAAGAGTTTAAAAAGATGAGAATAAATAAGTATATGGTGAATCAATGAATGAACAAAGAACACCTATATCTTAATACTTGGATTATTAAGTTTTCAATAGCTAAATACCACAGAATTGTCTGGCAACAACTATAATTTGTCTTCTATTAACTAACAATTATTAATACTAGAAGAATATTTATATTAATCATGGAGCAGTAATCTGCTTTGCCATAGCTCTAGTATAATAGAAATAACACCTCTGACTTACACTTTGTTCAGCATGCACTAGACTCATGCTCCCAGCTATGATATAGTGGTCAGTGATCATGGTTAGTCTGTCAGTGGCACCTGTTTGTCAGATTTCTCAACCAAACAAACATCTACAACTGTTTGATCCTAACATAAAAGCCCCAAATCAGACTTATCTCAAACCCTAGTTATGGACTATTAATGATTAAGAGAGACAATGTGACAGATTCTTTAGATAACCCTTATTTTTAGACAGCCACTCTGTAAGTACAAGTTTAGGAAGAGGCATTAGCTCCTAAAAAATAACGGGTAACATAATCTCTGAGTTAATTTAGCAGGATAAAATAACTCAGAGCACTAGGCAAACTATATTTAATTGTTCCTACTAAGATACCTCATAATTCCAAAAGAAAGAATTATTTTACTGAAACAATTCCATTTAACACACCATAAACTATTATTTAAAGCAAAATTAATCATGGGTAATTTTTTCAACATAAACATTTTATGGCTAGCTAGTAATATATGCCTTTCAAACAACTGAAAAAACAAAACCTGGAACATATCACTTATTACACATTACTGTTGTGACTTAAAAGAGTTAATGTACCTCCTCTAACATCTGCCTCACAACGAGAGAAGCTTATTTATCAGTGTACTTTGGTTGAATAAAAATACTCAAGAAGTAAATTCTAATAATCATTATTTAAAGGAGCTAAGATCTTTACCAAATAAGTATACCTGGGAACACAGGAAAGTGTTTATTTTGCCATCTTTAACTTTATCTTTAATACAGGACTTTTTAGATCACTGAATTGCTTACAGAAGGTATAAAATTTCATAAGAAGAAATTTCCTTATTGAATATTAATCATGATCTCTTATATTTCAAATGTAGTTTAATGTGTTAAGATCCTCTTAACCTTAGGCTCATAAGCATTAATCATTTACCCAAATATAGATATTGAGTTAAATTTTTTTTGTGTATTTACCTTTTTTCTTTTGAAGTTGAGGGTACCAGGCTGCTCCAGGACCCCATAAAACAAGCACATGATGTTGACCTTGGGTCTGTTCCACTGTTACCATAACTTTCCTTTGCTTCTGTCCTCTATAATTATATAATGCTTCTGAAAAAGAAAAATAAGTGTTTACACTGGAATTAATCTAGCACATGCGATACCATACTTTAATATCTGGTAAGTACACTGTGGGAAATAAATGGTACACCAAAATGGGTTTGTATCTTAATAATTTAAAATTAAGAAGGTAACCAAAATGTTTACCTGTCAGAATAGTGATATCAACAACTTTAAATAATGCGTGGACTAACATTTCTGGCTGAAGATGCTCCAGTTCTACAAACTTTATGATGTTCAGTTCCCGAGGATGCCTCTGAGGAAGATCTCCGAAACAGGAATGGTGTGAAGACACAAAGGCCAATAACTCTTTGAGTACAGCAGCACTAACTATACTGGAATCTAAGAAAGTAAAAAATACAAACATAAAGGATGGCAACATATTTTCTTGACAGCAAACAATATTTTCTTAGAACTGCACTTCATGCTGTAAAGTATGATTAAATGCCAAACAAGCTTTCACATCTATATAAAACATAGATCAGTTTAGATTTTAAAAAGTAAAACTTGGCATTTATAACCAATGGAAATACTTACTATGAAACAGGCGGTGTTCCCTTCCCTATTTTGTTAAAACCATTTTTCTACCAATTAATCAAGCTCAGTATTTCAACTGTTTTTTACCTCATCAACCAGCCAGTTGGGAGTATGGTGGCTCTGTAGGATAAGCACTGAGTTGCGAACCATAAGGTTGGCAGTTCAAGTCCACTAGCCACTCTACAAGAGAAAGATGATGCTTTCTGCTTCTTCAAAGATTTACAACCTCCGAAACCATGTACGGGGTGCCTATGAGTTGGAGTCAACTCAATGGTACTTAACCACCACCAGCCAATTATACCAAATCAGTTCTTAATCACTAGAGTCTAATTTGATCATATCTTCCTTAACTATCCCAACCACTGCCATTCTCCCTCAAGACCCTTGGCTTTTCACATCTGAAACACTCAACAAGCCTCCTAACTAGGTCCTCACACTATTCCTGAACATGACTTACTCCTTCCTATTCTACAGCTCTGCTCTCACCACTTTCACTGCCTGTAAAGCTATCATCCTCCCTTCTGGCTATCCAGAGCATAGGATAACCACAGCAGATCCACAGTGATTTGTCCTTCCTCTAACTCAGACAGCATTTTACCTTAACTCTCACTTGGCATTTGAACATGTGCTTCACTTACTATATTTCTTTTTCTAATTCTTTACTGAGAAATACTTTACATACAAAATGTACACATTTTAAATTTACAGTTTAATGAGGTTTACTGATTAAACTTTAATTTCCCGGAAGGAAAGGGATGCAAGCTTGAGTGCATGACCGAGTGTTGACCAAAATAAGATATTGGCATAAAACACTTAAGTACTTTCTAGAAAGCAGGACCCATCGGTTAATAGCAAAAAAACAAAGGGTGACTCTTTCATTCGCCCATTAAAACACTCACCCTCATGTATTCCTTATATCGCACTAAAACCTCATTTTTTCACTCACTCATTTCATAAATATTTACTGGTCATCTACTATGTGCTATGCATTATACCAGGTACTAGGAATTGTTAAGTGCCATCGAGTGTGTTCCAATTTATCATGATCATATATAGGGTTTCCAAGGCTCTAAATACTTATGGAAGCAGAAAGCCTCACCTTTCTCCTGCAGTTGGTGGCCTCAAACCACCACATTGGAATTTAGCAGTCCAGTGTTTATCCTACAGACACACCATACTCCAAATTTTGCCATGAGCCCAACATTGAATGAGTTAACAATCTAGAGATAGACAATAACAAACTGTGCTTAAGATATGAAAAATGCATATAAGCATGCCTAAGAAAACACCACCAAATATAACAGTTTAGGGAAACTGGGGAGGCTTTCTTGAGGGAATATTTGAGCAAGATTTTGAGGAAATGTTAAAAGGTTTTCTAGGTAGGAAATGAGATCGGCAGAAGCATATTTCCAGGTAAAGAAAAGGGGTCACAATCTTTTATGTACCACAGATGTTTGGGTAGTCTGATGAAGCATAAACCCATGATAAGAATAACAATCTATATACTAGCTTTATTAAAGTGTAATTCACATACATAAACTTCACCCTCTAGAAATGTGCAATTCAGTGGTTTTTAGCATATTCAGAGTTATGCAACTATCACTATCTAATTTTAGAACACTTTTTTAAGAGTATTTTAAAAGTGCATAAAATACTTAGGATTGCAAAGAAAATCAATTATATGGAAATACAACATTCAAAATAATTTTTAAAACTATATCATTTATGTGCCTAATTAGTACACAAGACTTGGCAGAGTAACAATTACTATAATTTCAAGATAGTGGTGAGCATAAATGATATACTCACGTTATCTGTAGCAAATGTAATGTGATGTAAAATATTTTCATTGTTAAAGTTCCACTGTAACTACGTCACCAGTTCTATTAATATTATGTACTGTTGCCTTATTCATAATTGAAGGAAATATTAAATCTCAGATAGTCATTAGTGAAATAACGATGCAATGATTTTCTTATTCAAGTTCATGGGCACCTGTAGAAGAATCGATTTTCACAGAAGAAAAAGTAGGAATCACATTTAGAAGGCTAGTGACATCAACAGGAGATGATAAATGTTAAAAACAGGAAACGACTCATGAAGGTGAAAAAGGTTATTGATTTATGAGATAGTTCAGAGGATACAATCCAGGAAACAACTGAAATGTAGAGGGTAAAGAAGAGATTAAAGATGACATCTAGATTCCTGGTATAGCAGAGGAGATGGATTAAAATAAATGTTTCAATGCTTCTAGAAACCAATTTAGATTATTTAATTCCTAAACAAAGGTGATACCACTAACAAAGGTAATTGTGGCTGTTAGATGCCTTTGAGTGGGTACTGACTCATAGTGACCCTATGCACAATAGAACAAAACACTGCCTAGTCCTGCGCCAACCTCACAATTATTGTTATATGTGAACTCATTTCTGCTGCCACTATGCCAATCCATCTTGTTGGGGGTCTTCCTCTTTTCGCTGACCCTCCAACTTTACTAAACATGATATCCTTCTCTAGAGACTGGTCCCTCATGGTAACATGTCTGAAGTAAGAGAGGCAAAGTCTCACCATCCTTGCTACTAAAGAACATTCTGGTTGTACTTCTGACAGATTCATTTTGTTCTTCTGGCAGTCCATAGTACTTTCAATAGTCTTCTCCAACACCATAACTTAAACGTATCAATTCTTCTATGGTCATCTTTATTCACTGTCAATCTTTCATACGCATATGAGGCAACTGAAAATATCATGGCTTGGGTCAGGCACATCTTAGTCCTCAAACTATCAATACTATTGCAATACATCATTTGATTTCTTGATCGTTGCTTCCAAAGAAGTGATGATTGCAGATGCAAGCAAAAGGAAGTCTTTGGCAACTTCAATCTTTTCTCCATTTATCATGATGTTAGGATTTTTTGTTTTCACTGAGGTACAATACATACTGAAAGCAGTGGTCTTTGATCTTCATCATTATTTTGAAGTCCTCTTCAATTTCAGCAAGCAAAGGTGTATCATCTGCATATCACAGGTTGCTAATGAGCCTTCCTTCCTACAATCCTGATGTCACGCTCTTCTTCACATAATCCCGTTTCTCGGATTATTTGTTCAGCATACAGACTGAATAAGTACGGTGAAAGGACATAACTCTGAAGCACACCTCTTCTGATTTTAAACTATTCAGTATCCTCTTGTTCCATTCAAACAATTGCCTCTTGGTCTGTGTACAGGTTCCGCAAGAGCACAATCAATTGTTCTGGAATACACATTCTTCGCAAAGATAATTAGTATAAGAAAAAAGAAGAGTATGAGAAAGGACAAAGAATGAGGCAACAGTGGAGGTAAGGAGAGCAACTAGAGTATAATAAAACCCACCTCCAAGCATCTCCTTCCACATACTCAATTGGTTTACCCAACCTCCTGATTCTTTCACAATATGTTTAGTATAGATATCTGGGTTCAGAAGTACATTACTTTGTCAGTAATGATCTCTATGAACTTCCATTAACGACTCTGGGCTCCACTCTTTGTCTATAAAACTTTTGGGGGCTGGGAGGAAATCCCTGATATCAAATTTTTACTTGTCCCTGTTTCAAAAGAAAAAATCATAAGGGAACATCTAGTTATTTAGAGTTCAAATAAAATAGTCTAATGCTTAGAAATGAGTTGGCTTTTGCTTTACAGATTTAATAACATTTTTTATTGTTTATATCTTATCAAATTATCAAGACTAGAATTATAAAATATGTAACACTTTAATAAAAATACAAGTACAATATGAGGCTAAGCAAAAAAGTATTGTTACAAAATTGTTGTTGTTATAGCAAAAAGATGGAGACAGCCAAAGTGCCCATCAACTGAAGAATGGATAAATAAATTGTGGTACATACACACAATGGAATATTATGCTAAGTTGAAGAATAACAAGGAAGCGGTAAACCACCACATAACATGGATGAACCTTGAGGACATTATGCTGAGTGAAATTAGTCAGTCACAAAAAGAGAAATACTGTATAGGACCACTACTGTAA